TGCGCGCCTCGACTGCCTCGGAGCGCCCCTGCAGGCGTCTGCCTCGTGGGCAGCCCGGCGGCAGAGAGAGGGAGGTTGGCAGGCCGGGGCCCGCCTGAGCCGCGGCCGGAGGAAAGGGCGTCCCGGACCCGGCGCCGGCCAGCGTGGCCAAGCCCTGGCCGCTCCGTCCGGCCCCTCCCCGCCGAGCTTCCTCGCGTTCCTTGGTGGAAGGAGAGTTGCGAGAGGCGACCCACCGCTTTCCCGCCTTCTGGGTGCCTTCCTTCGCCTAAACCCTTCGGCTGGCGGGAGCTTCAGCCGTCTCGGCCGCAGACCTGGGGACCCCCACTTCACTGAGCAGGAAGGTGTGTGGCCGGCCGGCCGGCCGGCCGTCCAGGAGCAGCGCGCCGTGCCTTACTGCGCCTGAGCTACAGTCGGTGTGTGGCAGGAGCAACGCGGTTCTCCTCGCCACCAGGTAAATAAAATGTAACCCGTCCACCAGTGCTGAATTCCAGCTTTATAGAAGTCGCTGGGAGAGCAACACCAGCTAAGGAAACTTAAGTAAATGGTCAGCCTTGACTCAATTTTGTCTCCCTCCCACTCTGCCACCCTGCTTGGCCCACAGTGGGAGGGAATCTCTTTCCCGGGAGCCTTTGGCAGTCTTCTGCCCATCCCATCTTGAGGAGGGCGGTGGCTGGTGACATTTGGGAGGCTGGGAGGGCAACAAAGCCAGGAAAGTTCACCCGTCTGCCCTTCACACTCCCTGCCTATGGCAAAGAAGACCACCGCTATTCGGCAGCCTCCTTCCTGTGGCAGGGTAGGGATGGGCACTGGGCAGCCAATGTTCCGCCAGGATAGATCAAGGCCTGGGAGGGCATTTTAACTTGGGTGCAAAAAAGAGCCCGTGTTGAGGCTAGGAGCCGGTAGTCGTACACCAAAACCATTTCGGCTGTGTGGAGTCTTGGGCCAAAGGGGCAGCTGCAGAGAGCTCGGCGGGGGGGGGGGGGGGGGCGGCTTGGGAGACAGCCCTCCGATCTCACTGCTTTCCAAAACGGTTCCCACGAAGCAGCAGGGACTTGGTGTAAGCTGCACAGAGCATTCTGGTCTTGGGCCAGCCCTGCCCTCACAGCTCCAGGGAGGCAGCAGAAGCCTTGCCAAGAAGACTGCAGGGGCTGGTCCGGGCGTTGCCAAGAGCCAAGACTGACTCGAAGGGCCAGAGGAAGAGCGGGGCAGGGGGTTCACTGAAGGATTGCAGCTCTCTGGGCTGGGGAAGCAGATCCCTCTCAACGCAGGGTCTGCATGAGCCTGGCCGATTACCAATCACCACTCTGCCCACCTGGCCGCCTTGGGAGGTGGCATCTTGGGATGCAGCGCTGGGCATCCCCAACCAGCTCGGCCCGTCTGGCAGGGTGGGGCGGAGCAGAAGGACCAGCGAGGCTTTTAGGGTCAGACCAGGCCCAGGAAGTGCCCAGGACCGCTGCCCGGGAGAGGCCCTCCCCCTCCCCCTCCCCCTGCAAGGCGGCCGGTGGGGGGCACTGCCGCAGGCGACCCATTTCCGTGCCTGAAGGAAGCAGACTTTGGCCTTGTGGATGCACGGCTGTCCCTTGGCAGCAGCCTTCCGGGGGTCTCCCAGCAACGGCGTGGCTCTGGGTGCTCCAGGGGGGCACTGACCCCAGGGCGGCCCTTGTGGAGGGGAGGGGCCTTTTCCGCCCCCGCTTGGCCCCGCTTCCCCTTGCTTGCTGGAGCCACGCCCTCCCGGGCTTGCAAGGGGAGGCCCAGTCAGGCATGGCATGACTCGGGGGGGGGGGACTTCGGTCGTGTGGAACCTTGTGGGGACTGACTGCAGGAGCCCGGTGAGGCTCCTCTTCCCGGAAGGACAGCTGTAACGGTTAGGAGGATTCCCAGCGGGGAGCAGTATGTGCCCTGAGGCGGCATTCACACCACACGCGTCACCGGTTACTGAAGGAACCGCTCTTCGGCACGATGCGCTGAACCACAAGCCCCCCAAGCACGCAACATCCCCCAGCCAGTCATCCACAAAAAACTAACCAAGCTTGTCCTATTGTGCCAACGCAGCCGCTCCGCCTGGCTGGGCCCCCGTGTGAGCTCAGCCAGGATGCCCTCGTCAATGCTGAGCCCTCAGGTAGGCAGAAGATGGGTCTAGGCTCTTCTAGCCATCGTGCAGGCTCTGGTTGCCACCTGCGGCAGCAAGACTCACCGGGGGGAGGGGATGGGGGGGCTGCCTGGTGGGAGGGGCCTCCCAAGAGCTCCCCCTGGTGAAGATGGCAGCTGGGTTTCACCCTAAAACAGGTTTGGGCCTTTCTCAGATCTTGTCTTCGCCCAGCAGGCTTAGCCAGGTCAATATGCCAAGCTCAGGTAGCGTTAATCCTGGTCAGTTCCTGGTTCGGTGTATTGTGTGAACCAAGAAATTGGGTTAAATCAGCAACTTTGTGGGATGCAGCCAGACTGCGGAGTGCAGACTCGCTTGCGTTTTTCCACACATGACAGAGAACTTCTGATCAGTGATGTGTCTTTCTGACATAAGGGAACTTCAGAAAGGGATGGCATCAGAGCATGGGCAGAGTGCTGCCTGATCCAAGGAAACCCTTGGAATACATGCTGCGTTGAAGTTCCAGCAAGGAGGCAGGGCAAGCCACACATTAAGCCAGATGCAGTTGAATCTAAAAATTTAATTCAATTGAAGTAAGTTGAAATTAAGTACAGCTCGGACCGCATACAAACCCTCATTCGTGCGGCAAGGCTTACGGCCTGCACCTGACCCAGGCGCCCCCACGGCCTTCCACGCAGGAGGTCTCCAGCCCTGCGGACGCCACATTGTTAGGCAAGGCCGGAGGGTGCTTGGGTTTCAAGGGCGCACCAGGCAGATGACGGCTTGCACCATCTTCCAACATGTGCCCCCCCCGTCTCAGCATCTTGCCAATGGGGCAGTCTGGGAAACTCGAAACTTGCAATTGTTTTGCGAACACTTCAGCTGCGCTAACATTGTCTTGGTGGATTTTGGATGTTTTCCTCACGTGGCCAACTCAGCTATTATTGCTTTTAATTGCACTGGACATGATTTTTGTCCCCTGGGGGAAGCAGCAAGTGAGACCCCCGAGGCTGCCTAGCTGACGTACAGCCAGTCGGCCAGGGCGGTGGGCAAGTGGGTCACGGCCTGCAGACGGAGCCACCAGGAGGCCTCCATGGGGGTGTAGCGGGTGTAAGGATGCTGGGCAGCGAGCGCTTCGGTCAGGTCGTCCAGGACCAGGGACACGTCCCGCAGGCCGCTGTGCGCAAAGCCCTTCATCCGACGGAGCTTCTCCCGGAAGTCAGCCTCTCCGTAATCTGCCCGGACAGTCTCGCTGGCCCCACGCCACATGTGTTCAGCCTCGGCCTCGATGCCCTCTGGGGTCAGGATCCCCGTGGCCGCGATGAAGTTGCTTGGCTCGACAGCGACCACCGAGACGCCCCAGCGATACATCTCCTGCCGCAGGCAGTCGGTGAAGGCCTCCACCCCGAACTTGGAGATGCAGTAAGAAGAGCGCAGCGGGCTGGTCATGCGGCCCAACATGCTGCTCATGTTCACGATCCGTCCTGGAGGGGAGCAGAGACCAGACGCTGCTCTGGAGGGGATGGAGGCACCAGCAGCAGGAGCTGGCCAGGCCACTCCAGGCCCAGCCCTGCCCTTTGCCAGAAGGGCCTGGCCTCCGGGGAGCTCTCCGAGTTTTCTCCATCAAATGCTCTCTTTAGGGCCCGTTCCCACCGACGCCTGCTTTGTTTCACAGGTGCTGGGACACACTGGGCAGGAAGGCGGGCAGCCACAGCCCTGCTGTATCCCGAGGCGTCTGCTGGGACCTGAACTGGGCAGCTTCTCAGTTGCTAAAGTCCCTCTCTGGGCCTTCCTGTTCCAAAGTGGGATATCTGAATGGGGTTGACTTCCTGGGCCTGAGGGCCTGGCAGAGGCTGCACATCTCTGCAGGCCTCTGCTTTCCCCTCCCCTCTTCCTCCATGCCTGGGGATCTTAAGTTTCTTCTGCCCACCCGTTCTTGCAAAAGGCATTCCAGATATGCATTTGAGGAGTGCCAGCGCTGCACAGAGGAAGCAAACACTCGCACGTGTGCTCTGCATAACTTTGCTGCTGACCTCTCAGTGTTGGCAGTCTGTCTGCACACGTGAGCAGAGGTACCCAGGACACCCAGCTGGCCCCTGATGGACCGGCTCTGCTGGACACGCAGGTGCGTGCAGCGCTCTGCTGTGGACCCACTCTGCGCAAGATGTTTTGCTGAGAGGCCAAAGGGCCTCCAGAGGCCCGTCCTGGTGGCCCCCAACCCCTGTAGGCCCTTTTTCATACCTCTGGCTCTGCGGATCAGGGGCAGAAAAGCTTTTGTTACACGGATGGTCCCCCATAGGTTGATGTCAGCCACCCTCTTGTACTTCTCCACACTGGTGAATTCCACATCCCCAAAGGAGGCGATTCCAGCGTTATTCACCAAGCCCCACAGACCTGCCAAACAAGAGAGGAGAGCCATTCTGAAGACCCGCTGGAGCTGGAGCACCTCCTCCGAGGGAGCCCGTACCTTGCCCATCCCCCAGCCTCCTGAACTAGCCTGTTCAGAAAGGCAAGAGACCCTCCTTCACGGGCACCCAACTGGCACCTCTTCTGTCTCAGTCCCCTGGGCAAAACGGACAGAACAGCCATCGCGGGTGAGGGCACAACGTCCAAGGAAGTGTTAGAACTGCCCTCCCCGCTCCTTTCAAGAGACACCAGGTATGCTGCGTCCGCATACGGTACTTGAAAGCAACTTCATGTGCCGAGTTCACACAACGTGCAAAGAGCTGCTCTTCCTCGTGTTACTTTATTGTGAATCCATGGGCAGAGAACTGCGCAGCCTCAGCGACGAACAAGGGTGGGAAGCAGCGCTCGCAGCTTCAAGGCAGGACAACTGAAAGAACACGATGAAGGGATTCCTCGGCTGAATTCCCCCTGCCGCTCTGCGGGAAAGGGACCCACCGAGTGCTCTCCCGCATGCGGTGTGAGGCTGGTGCTGGGGGCATCAAAACTGGTTCTGATTTGGCATGTTTTGCACAGGCACTCCTTTTGGTCATGGGCTTGGTACAGCACTAAATCAGTGTTCAGAAATAGCCCCCAAAACAACTAATTGAATGGGGGGGGCGCTTTGAAAGGTGAAATAGGAAGTTCTTCCACTGCATCACGTAACACCCTCCATACCCATCAGCTGTTTCTTGAAAGGTACATCAGCGGTTGAAACAGCATTTTGAGAGGGGGAGCACCCGTGTCAGCCGCCGAAGATCACCTCCAGCTGCCTCAGCTGTGGCTAGCTGAAGGGGACGGGCTGTGGCAATGACCTGGGGAGGCAGGGGCAGGAGGAGCCGTCCCCCAGACAACTGTCTGATCAGGGAAATCTGAGTCCAAAGGAG